CTGGGTCCGCGGGGGCACGGATCAAAGCCGGGGCTCAAGTGCGACAGGAGCGTGGCGGAGGAGAATGAGGCAGGAGGGTGGCGCCCGCCACAGAGCTCCCAGGCATCGGCGGCCTTGGCACGCAGCGGGTAGGGAAAGGGATAGGAACAGGAGGTGCACGCCGGATACCTGGATGCCCCCAGCGCTTCGTCCCCCACTGCAGCCATCTGGGCACCCCTATTACTTGGTGGGGCTGAGGCAGGCTCCAATAGTTTTCCAGGAAGGGCTGACCTTTCCCAACAGTTGTAGATCTACACTGATTACCCCAGTGATACCCTCGTTGACACTTAGTACAAGGACTGCCAGGTTTAGTTGAAGGGACAGATAATGCCTGTGCTTCCCTTATAGGTGTAGCAGAGCCATTACAGGCAAAATGTTCCTTACTGCCACAACGAAAACAAACAGCCTTGTTCTTTCTCCTTCCCCCAGCCTGTGGATGAACAACCTGAGTAATACCTGCTGCCAACGCAGCCCCTGTACACACGAGGGGCTGATATCTGCACGGATCCAAATCATCTATGACAAGGTAGCCCGTCTTTTGTGGGCTCTTAAAGCCTCTTTACACCATCTATTCGCATTTCAAAGGCCAGCAGTTGAACTATTCGTTTGCTAGCCTCTGTGTTACCTATGATCCTCTCACTAGCTTGCATTAAGGGTGTGGCGAAATCTTGAAAAGGCTCATCTGGGCCTTGATAAATAGAAGCCAAATTAAGGGATGTCTCACCCTTGGAAGGAAGTTCCCTCCAAGCCATGGCAGCCATCTTGGTTTGCTCATAGGCTGGCAGCTCAAAGGTCAGTTGATTATTGGTGATAGCAAAGGCACCTTCCCCGACTAGCATATCCTTTGTAATGGGTATGTTATGAACAGCATTATGAGCTGCCTGGTCTGCGCAATATTCAAAGAAGTTTCCTTTCCACAGTAAGTAATCACCTGGATTCAAATATGCTTTAGCTATTGCCTTCCAGTCATTTGGGGCCATAATCTGTTGTCCTGGAATCTCTACTAACCTCAGAGTAAAGGGAGCAGTGGGGCCGTAAGTAGCAACAGCTTGTTTGAACTCTTTCAGGGTTTTAACAGGTATGGCTTCATAATGACGTATAACTTGTCCCGAATTTTCAGGGACTTGAACTTCAGTTACAGGGTGGATATGCTGAAAACCCTCCATGGTCTCCCCTGCCCCTTTAGCTTCTTGTAATGCTAATTGCAAGGGAGACAGAGAAAATGGCTCTTCTCCCTGAGAGGCAGAAGGCACCTGTGTTGCAGCCATGTTTCCCCTAGCTGAAGAGGCTGGGATAGCCACCTGTGGCTCAGGCAAGTTAACTGGGCGTTGTGAAACGATATTTGCAAGGAAACCCCTCTCTGGTGAGGACAAGCCCCCCTTGTCCCCCACCACTCCTTCCTTCTTAACTTGGACCAGGCTAAAGGGCTCAGGCAGCGCAGCTGCTCCGCCCTCCAGGTCCGGCTTAGGGGCGGGACTTGATTTTAACATAACGTTCTGAGCCAAATCCTTCATGGTTACAAAACTTCAAACCAACATCCAGAAAATGAAATACAGGAGTCAAACATGCAACAAACACTTCTACAGAGACACACCCCGGGGGTCTTGGGACTCCACCTGCACTTTAATATCCCTTTCTCTTTGGCTTCTTTGAAGCCTGTATATTTTCTGGCCCTAAAAAACACGTACTCCCATGCTTTACACCTGGCGGGCTGGTACCACAGACTCCAGTGCTGAATACTAGCTGTGCCCCTTTTGGGAAGCGTTCTCACTGCCCTCTTAATCCCACCGGGGGTCCCTCCGTGGTCGCCCATTGTAGGGATCCGTTGGGTTCTTGCTATACCCTGGGAAGGATCGGTGGCAAGAATGAGGAAAAAATAGACAAGAGACAAAAAGCTGGCATCAAGGAGAGGTCCCCTCCCTCAGCAGAGAAGGGGAACGGCCCAAGAACCATAGAGCGTTTACCTATACCCTGGAGAGGCTGGTTACTTTTCACCTTGTTGTCCAGCACTCAGTTAACAAGCTACAATGGCTTGTTTCTGTGCTTCGAGGAGCTCCTGTGTTCTCAGGCTGGCTTCGTCCTGCACATATAATTACTTTGCAGCTTCAGCGGCTCCCAACAGTGGTACCTTCCAGGGGAGCTCTGGTTCTTCTGAGCATCGCTTCCTGGCTCCAGTGTAGCTCCCTCAGCCTGCTAGCACAGATCCTTCATCCCTCTGGCACAGACTTCCTAGATTCCACCACTGACCTCTGGGCCTTCCCAGTGCAGATCTGTGAAACAGGCCTGCGCTAGATATTGTTATGGGCTCTGGGCCCCCAGTTGGATTCGTGGGAGGCATTGTTAGGAGCTCTAGGTCTTCAGCTGGACTCATGCAGGACATTTCCGTGGGATCCCGGCCCTCAGCTAGCTTCCTTGGTCTTAGTGCGCAGACAGATTTCCTGCACTCTTTTGCATATCATTCTTTGGGTGACTATTATAATCTTATAACATATGCGTCCTGTATTATATCGTTCCTCTTGCAAAATCAGCCCCAAACCAACACACAAGGGTACTGAAGAAAGGAAGGATCCAGTGCATATCTTGCAAGGCTTCGCTGGCCTCACAAACCCCTGGTTAAACCGCAAAGCCAATGCAGGGCTGTCAGTTTAGGAGGGACCTAATCTGACCTGGTTTCAAGCGGATCACAGGCTGTGTTGCACAGCGCCAGGACCTGCTGGGTCCCACTGCAGCGAGCAGAGGGGGAGCGCAGGGGCCCAGGCTTTCCTGAGGGCGGTAAGGAAGGTAAGACAGCCAGCCTCACGCATCCCCTGCTGAAGCAGCTTCTTCCCGCGTTCCGCAGCAGTTCTGGACAACCAAGGAGATGAATGCACATTCCGCATACAATCTACAGTTCAGAGAACAATCAGGCTGAGGAAATACATGTGAGGGCTCTAAGTAAACAGTCGATTTTTAAAGAAGTTTTTTATAGTGTTCGCTGCATTTATGTAATTTAGTTGGTAATAATACAATTTGCGTTTAGCAATCAGCTCACACAATCCCTAAACCTTTAACTACCGGTTCCCATGAGCCCAATGAGCCGGCTCCAGCGCACCGCTGCCTTTTTCTCCTCCCCGCTCCAATTTACTACGTTCAAAACGTGCATCTTGAATCTCATCACTTTTCACTAAAATGGATTGTACTTAAACATAATAATGAAGAAGACAAAAATAAAGCTATAGATATAATTCTCCCTAACCGAGAGGAGGAATCTACAAACAGTGGCAGAAACGCCAGTGCTCTCGGATCTTGTTCGTTTTCTTAGGGACTCCGTCTGGGGTCTCAAAAGCAGAAAGCCGCACCTCCTCGCTCTCCACCCGCGCTCAGGCGCAGGGCGCCGGCTCTGGGAGACCCAGCCAGCCCGTCTCCAAACTGCCGCGTCTGCACGCCCACTGCCCGCTCACAGCGCGTGCGCACAGAGCCCACCGTGCGGGGCGGGGCTTGACCAGGGGCGGGGCATGGTCGCACCACGCCCCCAGCGTCTCGTTGCTAGGAGACGCGCGGGCAGCCAAGGAAAGCGCCGCAGTTGGCCTCCGCAGGCTCAGCCGCACCTCCGGAGCGGAGACCTCCTGCAGCTCAGAGCCGAGGGCGAGCTGCGCCCGGGCCCGGGCCCTCGGCCGTGCCGAGCGCGGGTAACCGGGTCGCCGGGCGGGTGGGAGGGCC